GGGGGGGGGGTTGGCTGGTTGGGCAAAAGTGCTAGTTGTGCCTCTGCTGTAAGTTTGGTCAAGACTCAGAAAAAAAAACCACTAACAACATCACATCACATCATAGATAGGAAGAAATATCGTACTTGAGAAAAGGAACAACACCAACAGGTCAGCTAAGCAAATGCAATTTAGGATTTTAGGAACAAAGTCAAAAAAGAAAGAACTAGGAACATTATAATTGTTCATAAAGTAGAAACAATACAAAACACATATGTTTGGTGAGTTAGGAACAAAACAGAAAGTACTAGATTGAGGAACAAAAAAAACTATAAAATGGAAACTATAACAGGAACCAAGAGCCAGCTAGGAACAATAAAAAACTAGGAGTTTCATACATGCATGCACTAAGAACAAAGAACAATAAATTAAATCAGAAATGCATAATAAGGAACAATAAAAAGATTGTTTAGGAATTGGGAACACAAATAAGGGATTAGGACAAGGATTAAGGGTCTAGGGTCGGCCAGAGTGTTTGGAATAGGAACAATAATAAGAACATTAAGCAAGATAAGAACAAGAAAAAATTACTATGTTATACTTATATGCATGAAAGTAACAATATAACAATTTTGATTAATGAGTATTGATTAGGGAACATTACTATAAATATGCAAGTTAGAAAGGGACAATATTATAACATAAGTCTAGTTTCTCACAAATTTCTACATTTATCGATCATATTTACTGGTTGATTTTGAAATCGAATTCAAGATGTACAGTGTGCCGCATATTAACACCAATAAAACAAAAACACAATATCGTCGTACTTACCTCGTTGGTTTTATTTATTTTTAACAAGCTAGAAAATATTTTTTTTGTCAATTATTTAACCCTATCTCTGCTGGGGTACTTGAAAACCAGGATATACTGGGGGGGGGGGACAATTTGACCCCCCCCCCCTTTAAATCCCATGTTTGATGTCCAAATATGACAAATGAAACATTATTGGAAAGCCCTGTGCTCTACTTTTAGAATCTGCAAAAAAATTTGCAAATTTGCAAAAATTGAATTTTTTATCGCAAAATCCAGTTGTATAGTAAAAATGTTTGCAAAAAAAAAATTTGTAACTTAGGCAGTTAGTATTAAAGCCCGGTTTTAGGCCTAAAGGGAGGGCTTTGGGTATGTAGGAAAAGTCAGAAAATTTCAACAGTCTCAGACTAATACTTTTTGAGTTATGTAAAAAAAACTACAGGGGGGGGTCAAATTGACCCCCCCCCCCAGCAGGAATAGGGTTAATAAATATCTTCTAATATTATAATAATTCGTTAAATAATATCAAATAACTTTCGAAAAAGGGCCGGCCATACACATTATATACTGCAATTAAAATTGGGAACATTTTTTGCTTAGAAATCTCTGGGGGGGCGAAGGTCCTTCCGCCCCCCCCCCCCTGTATCCTCCCCTGTAACCCTTTCTTCCTGTTTCTCCATCTTTCTATTCTATATAACTTGGATTCGAACCATATATTCAGAGAAAGCTTGAATCTACAGAATCTACAATGACTTACTCTTACTCTCCGCGTATCTTGCAGGCGTTGACCTGGCCCGGCCTGACGAATCTATACCAGCTGACGCAAAGGGACAGACGGCCAGGGTCGGAGAAAATCCTCGAACCGTACCGTACTTCCACCCCTCCAGGCTAGGCAGCTGAACGGAGGGCAGGGGGAGGTATGGGGGAAGTTAAGGCAGGAGGAGGGGGGGGGAGACCCAACACTGCTTACATCTGTGCCAGTGTTATACCGCAAGCCGGCTGCTAACTGCAGGGTTTTGTCTCATATAGTGATTATAAGCTGAAATTATGTGAAAATTGTGTGATAATAACAATAATTTAATCCTTAAATATTTTACAGGTAAAAAAGAGTTTATCATTTATTTTAAATATGAAAAGTAAATTAACTCCGATATATTTATTTCATTCTTTGTGATTGTGTTGTGATATATATATATAATATATATAAACTGCAGTAAAACAAATGTGTACGCCTCTGAAATAACTTTCCTTGCATTATAACCTTGATCTTAATCATCTTTGTTCTAGGTTGTATATTCTCCACCAGAAGATGATTCTGTCGAGGATTTTGTTTGTAGGAATAATATCTTCCTGTTCCTGAGATCAGTGGTTACTCATTTCGACCTGGAGGAATCATTCTTCTTCGACCCAACCTGTCTCTACCAGTACCAGGATGTTGGCAAGGTTATACATAAATAATTTCGCAGATTTTTCTGTTTTAACTGGTGCATTTTTAATAATTATCATTTATCATTTATCATTTATCATTTATAATTATCGATATTATTATCATAATTATCATCATAATCATAATCATAATCATTATTGAATCAATACTACAAAAAAAATAAAATAGATACTAAAACTATTATTATTTACTTATCATTATTTATATTATTATTATTATTATTATTATTATTATTATTATTATTATTATTATTATTATTATTATTATTATTATTATTAAAAATAAAATGTAGAATTACGTGTGTTGTAAAAACCTCTTGACAATAAATAATGTCAATTTAAATCTTTGTTTGCTAACAAACATTTAAAATTACATTGGTAAACATTGTTTTAAAGGAAAACATTGCAAAGACTTTATTCGACTCTAAAGGGAAAGTACACTTTGCTTGTTTAGATTTAAAACAAGTATCATTCATTAAGAAAAAATAGGGTTAATGGATATTTTAAGTTCATCGTTCTACTACATTATTATTATCATTATTATTATTATTATTATTATTATTATTATTATTATCATTATTATTATTATTATTATTATTATTATTATTTTTAATATATATTCAATGAAATAATATATTGAAAGAAAAATCACAACACAAAATTCTTTCCAAGGTCTACTATCTATCTGTCTACTAAACAATTTTACACAATTTTAAACTTTACTTTAAAATCCTTATTTCAATGAAACCCAAGATATGTCGTAGACCTTATATATTTTGAACTATAATTTATTAGGTCAAATAATCTTAGTTTGAAATATCAAAATTTTACAACATCAGTTTGCAAAGATATAGGAATAAGAAAATTAAGTTTGTGGCAAATGGAAATCTAAAAAAATATTCTGTTACATCTCCCCATTTTCATTTGGCAAAGTTACAATTTTTAAAACTTTTTTTATCATATATATAATTCATATTCTTTAGGCGGAAAAAAATGGCAGTAAGACCGTTTTAATAACATTAGAGTTTTAAATATGTATTTTCTATCATTTATACCTTTCAATTTAATCTTTTTGACCTACATATAAAGATTAATTCAGAAAAAAGACTTTTCATTTATAAAACCTGGAAAAGTAGCTTTAACACAAATATACAGGGGGTTACTTTTCATTCATTCATTTATATTTTTATTCAATTACAAAGAGATATTACAAATAAGCAATCACAATTTACTATGCAGTTTGGACCCGCCTTATCAGGGTAGGTTGTTTTACAGGATGGCCTAGAAAAAGACGGCATTTTTTTGGAAAAACGAGAAATAATTTAATTGTCGAAGCTTTTTTGCCTCGGAGTGAATATTTTTTTACACTGTTTTTAGTAAAGCCTAAGAGAGAGAGAGAGAGAGAGAAGAACCATCTCTATTCTTCATTTCTATTCTTTCTAAAATGTATTTTTGGGATGATTTTTTGTTCTAACAAGTGTTTAGCAGAAAAAAGGTTTGCCGCAAATTTCGTCGTTTTGTTGAGAACAAGCATACAATCAAATTCGTTTATTCCACGTGGATTTAACGGTTCTGTCAATATTCCAGAAAGCTGTGCCTTTCGATCACAATTTGACCCATTAAACATAATTTTTAGCCTTTTCTATAAATACTTTTTTGTCGGCATATACATTTTGAATGAAAATGTATTGCATAAACAAATCTGTAAAGTAATTGATTATTGAATTATATACCAAAACTCGTTTGATTTCAAATATAAGAAACCGAATGATGCTAACTCTGGTTAGTCCGGTGTGATTCTAAATTAAAGTTTTCTTTCTAGGTATTATTGAGGGAGGGGG